TTTTAAGTTATATTGAATGAATAAGGTAGGTAGGAAGTGCATAAGAAAAAAAAAAAGATTTAGGGCGTATTTGGATACAAATATATATGCTCTAAACGATTTTTTTAACTAGGTTCATTTTGAAAAATGTAGTATGATTAATTGTTAGTGAGATTTATATAGTTTATATTAAATTAATTAAGGTTGATTTGATGAACAAATAGGAGAGAGATCATGTGAAACAATGATTAGTTAAAATTATATGAGTTCATGAATAGTGAATTAAAATTGATGTAAAGTATAAAAATGATAGATTTGTATTGTTTAATTATGCTGATACTATTGAGGATAGTGAGATTGAGTTAAAATTGAGTTAGATGTTGAGTATGAATTAAATATGAATTGAAAAAAAAATTATAAATAAACATCCTCTTAGAGCATGTTTGGATATAATAATCTTTGGTGTTCTTGGATTTTTTGGTTTTGTTTGGTTAATTTAGAAAAATATGGTATGGTTAGTTGTTAGTGGGTATGTAAAATAATTAAAATTGATTTGATGCAAAAATAATAGAGAGATGATTTGAAGTGATAAATAGTTAAAATAATGTGAGTGCATGAATAGTGAATTAAAGTTGATGTGGTGTGTATGAATGATTAATTGATATTATTTAATTATATTGATAATATTGATGATAGTGAGATTGAGTTAAAAAAAAATTGATTGAGTTAAAATGTTGAGTTTTTTTTTTTTTTTTTTTTTTTTTTTTTTTTGGTATGCAGACATACCCTTTAGACATAGTTTTTAAACCCGGCCCGAGAATCGACCCGGGCAGGTCTCCGTCACCGGGTCACCTGTCAATTGTTGAACCGGATAATTAATTTTAAAATTTTTAAAATTATATATAGAGTATTTTGTCAAATATATAACAAAAGTAAATATTTTGTATATAAAATTTGTACATTAAAGTATTAATAATGTATATTTCATAATAAATATTTATCATATAAATATATATACATAGTTTTATTTTTTAAAAATGAAAAATATATACAAGAGTCGGGTCAACTGGGTTGACCCAACTGGGTCAATGCCCCGGGTCGATTGGGTTGGCCAGGTCCTTTATTGCCCTGTCCAAATAGCCCACTCGGACCGGTTCTGGCTCCATGTCGATCTGTCGGGCCGGTCCGGGTCTCAAAACTATGCCTTTAGAGACTCAATGAGATTTAATGGGATACTCTCATCGGAGAGCTGCGATTCTCTCATCAGAGAGCTGCGATTCCCCCGTTGAAGGGCTTCCTCCATTCAATCAATAATTATGATTCATCAATTTATGAAATCTCAGAGCTCTTTCTAAGTATTATCTTCGTAATCGTAGATCCTTTTCTCCAGTGGTAGGGTTTCTTTCAGAATTGGGGCTTTTATTCTCTGCCCTAATTCCTGTTCATGGGATCTCTTGAGGAAATTATAGGCCGATTCAAGGCCTTCAGTCTCTCAAATAAGGAGTCTTCGATCATCTACCTAGGGAACGAAGATGTCAAAGTCAGCAATATTGAATGCAACAAGAGCCTATTCTGGAAAATTATTTGAGACAAAATGGCAAGTCTGGTTGGTATCAAGAAAGCGATGGGATTGATGTGGAAGATTCAGAACTCAATGGAGGTAAGAGAATTGGGAGTAAACTTCTTTCAATTTATTTTCGAGAGTGCATATGACAGGAAGAAAGTTGCAGGAGGCACAAACTAGTTATTCGAAAATCAATATTTGGTTCTTCAGGAATGGAAAGAAGGTATGTCAACTAAGCATGAAGGTTTCGAGTATCTGAAAATGTGGGTTTAAATTCACAATGTCCCGTTGAATTGGATAACCACTGAAGTTGGCCTTAAGGTGGGGCGAATCTTCAAAGAAGTTATAAATGCAATAGTGGTGAACTCAATAAACCAAGAAAGATGATTCATCAAAATTCTGGGTGTTGTCAACCTAAAAGAAGCTCTCCCAAGGTGTGCCAACATAAGACATGGGGAGAAGCAAGTTACAGTGGAATTTAAATATGAACGGTTAGTCAATCTATGCTTTTATTGTGGAAATGTGGGGCACATTGAAAAAGCTTGCTCAATAAGAATAGAAGATATTGCTAATAATAATCTTCGAAGACAATATGGGGACTGGATACGAGCTATGGAGAACTATCAAGGGAATAGCTGAAACAACTCCATCTCATCCTCAATGCAAGACACGGAGGCACCCTCAAACCCAAGTGAAGTACAACCAATCACAGGGGATTCAACTAATGGGTCTAAATCTTCACCTGCTTCAAACACTGAGATACAAAAGGATGGTATTACTCAACAACATCAGAAGCTCTATTTATATCAGAGAAAACAAAAGAGCCTCAATCACTGCCAAAGGAATAAGAGATATTAGATAGCGCCTCACTTCATCAAGTTCCAGTAACAACTCTCTTCACCACAATCTATGAAATCACTGATATGGCTCTAGAGGAATCAGTAGGAAAAGAAGCCTTGGGAGTCTACTCAATCCCCATGGAGAACAAAACTCTGAGAACTCAACAGAAATCAACTTCAAGGAAAACCTGGAAAAGAGCTAAAACAATGAAAGGAAGGCTATCAAGGAATTCAAATACCACTTCAACAACTGGAACTACCTCAGCAAAGAGAATAAGAGAAGATCAAGTCATTATTCAAACTACTTAAATTACACCACTGCAAGCACTGGAAAAAAGGTAAAAAACCAAAACTTGAATTGGAAAAAGTGGAGAGGGCCAATGACCGCGCGTTGCAACGCGGCAAAATTATAATTTATCTTTTCCTTAACTAACCTCTACTAACTAGTAGTAGTGGTGAGCAAGAGTCGATCCCACAGAGAATGTGAATCGAATCGTGAATTTTCTCGTATTAATTGAAATATAAAAGCGATAAAAGAGGGGGGGGGGATTTGAATTAATAACTAAACTAACTAAAATCCTAAAAATATAAAGCAAGGAAATAAAAATAAAATAAATAAATTAGATAATTTTCTAGTTCATAGTTCCGCCTACACCCTCGACTGACTCGTCTAATCAACTTTGGTATCAAATCTCGTTATCTTATGAAATTACTAGCCCTAGGCAACAACACGGTCTGTTACCCGAATTTTTCCTCATTTTTAATCTAACCGCGAGACGCTCTACGATTAGACCTGACTTCTTGTACAGTCTAGAAAACGCTTCTTACATTTAATACAATCAGCCGCTTTACGAATTAGAAAAATAGGCTAGACTAAGTAGTGAACTCAACCGCGTTCGTTCACTTAAATAGGCCGTGTTATCCCCGGTAGTTACCATCTTCCGGATACCACTTACGAATTAAACACATCAACAATTACGGATTGAAGGCCTAATTCAGGTGT